ATTTTGGGGCTGGAGAGCTCGCCCAGCAGTTAAGAGGACTGGCTGCTTTTACAGAAGACCCAGGTTTGAATCCCAGCACCCACGTCGGCCAACAACGGTCCATAACTCCAGTTCCAGGAGATCCGATGCCCTCTTCTGACCTCCTTGGGCATTGCACACATGGGTGCATTTACATACGTGCAGGCAATACACTCACACATAAAATAAAAATAAATAAAAATGAAAAATTGTTTGGATAGTTGAATCATTACTTGGAGAAGAGCTACTTGACCAAGAACATCCACATTGAACTTTGAGACAGAGCTAGACCTCCATTGTGTTAAACTAATGAATTTGGGGGTGTTATAGCAGTTGTCATTGTATACCCTGGATGTATCTTCCTGTCTGCTTTATCACAAAGCCCTCTGTTTCCTTTAGGATGATTTCAACATTTAATTATCTTACCAGATGCCAGTCTACCCTTTATACTTGCTTACTTTTTTTTTTTTTTTTAAATTGTCTTTTTGAGGGTTTCTCTGTAGCCATAGCTGGGCTGGAACTTGCTATGTAGACCAGGCTGGCCTCAAACTCACAGAGATCCACTTGACCTCTGCCTCCCAAAGTGCTGGGATTAAAGGCATGTGCTACCACACCCTACTTATACTTGCTTACTTTAAAATGAAGAAAAATAGTGCTCACATCAGAAAATAGAAATATTTTCTCAGTTATTTGATTGTGACTAAAAAATAACCCCACTTTAAATGTTTTAAACAGATTTAAAAACTTGTTTCCTAAAATAACAAGGAACTTGAACGTTGATGACTTGGTTTTGGTTCAGGAGCTCAAGAGCGTTAGGAGTAAGGCCTTTGTGATTCTTTTGGTATCGTGATTCTAACTATAGTCACAAGATACGTTCTTGATTAACAGTCTCAACATCCTGATTGCTTCAGTCTCTATCTTTTTTGCTTTACTTCAATGATCTTTCTACTTTTTGTGGGAATGACTTTTATAAATGGACATAATCTGGACTAAATACTTTTAGTTAACCCCAGAAAAACTATGTGCTCTTGTATCTTCTGACCTGAGCACCTGATCTTGTTTCCTGGGAATCTCGATTTGGTACTTCACCCAAAAAGATAATGAAAGTGGGTATGCTTGAGAATTAACAAATCAAAGCACTGAAAGACTGCACCCATCTCCACTGAACACAGTGGACGTTGAGGACACCTGACCTTGGGTGAATGAGATATTCTAGAACAGGATCATAAATTTCCTCAGTAATTCAGGAATGTAAAGAAAACATAGGTCCCTTCTCAATGACTGATCTTTCTCACAAATTTTCTATATTCCACAGTATAACAGAAGAGGCTACAAATAAATGTGATGCAATTTTAGGTTTCATTTCTTCTGTTTGAGGTAAAAGCTTTGAATGCACAGTTCCTCTCTCTGCCCTTCTGAAGTCTACAGGGGAGGCACAGGTAACTTTCTGATGTCAGAATTAAGGGGTCTTAGGACCCATGCTGGTTCTCAAGTGTGCACAAGGTATAACCTCTGGGTATGGTTAGCAAAGTTCCATACCTGGACTTTTATGCCAACATTTGCTTCGGATGTTGATGAATTTGTGATCTTGTCTCTTAGCAGCCTAGACCTTGTGCTCCTTACCAATTGGCCTTTTCTCAGAAACATTTTTTGGGTGTTGAGAACCTATGTGATTTTCTACTGTGTAGTGTATCTCTTCGAAGTTCGTGGCTCCCTGCTTGGTATTACACCATATGAGACCAAGGGACACTCTTCCTGGTTCTGTCATTCTGCCTTCTTAATGTTCTTGGAGACATGGAGAGTCCATACTAGAGAACAGGTGCTTCAAGGGACCAGTAGTGAAAAGGCAAAAGCCCCTTTGCTGTGTTACCTCATTTGCTGCTTCCTTCCCGTCTGGTTTCAGAGTCTCAGATCAAAGATGATTGTGTCACCCTCCCTCTTTTGTCTGTTCCTATAATCTGCCCTGTCCATCAAGTGGGAGAGACATATTTCTTCCTCTTTTTTTTTTTCTTTGAAGTGTTTTGTTTGCTACCTAACTTCCTAATGGGGTTTTATCTAGTAGGACTTAATGTGAAATTTCACATCTGGAACATTTTTACGTGGCTCTTATATTTAGCCTATACTGTCATATGGTTTTCATTTTGAAAGTTTTTTTTTCTTGTTGCTTGTTTTGCATTTATTTTTTTAAATTTTATTTATTATGTTTATTTTATGTGTGTGTATTGCCTGCATGTAGGTAAGGACACCCGTGTCGTGCAATGCCTGTGGAGGTCAGAAGAGGCTTTTGGATCCCTTGGGACTGGAGTTACAGAAAGTTGTTAGTTGTTTTGTGGGTGCTGGGATTCGAACCTGGGTCTTCTGCAAGAACAACCAGTTTTCTTAACCACTGAGCCATCTCTCCAGCCCCTTGTTTTGCATTTCTATAAAATTTTTTCTTTTGAGACAGGGTCTCTGGTAGCCCCAGCTAGCTTGGAACTCACTATGTACACGAAGATGGCCTACATCTCACAGAGATCCATCTGCCTCTGCTTCCTGAGTGCTGGGATTAAAGGTGTGTACCATCATACCCAGCCACATTTTTAATATTTTTATTGCAACTTAACTGGGGCTTAGTGGCTTAGTTTGGTTTTGGTTTTTTGAGTCTTCCTGTATAGCCCAAGTTGGCCTCAAGCTTATAATCTTCCTTCCTCAGTATCCTGAGTGCTGGATGGTACTCATTTTATTTTTTATTTATTTTTTTCATCACCAATTTATCTTTTTTTTTTTAACTTAAAAAAAATTTATTGAGTCAGGCGTGGTGGCACACACTTTTAATACCAGGACTCGGGAGGCAGAGGCCAGCCTGGTCTACATAGCGAGTGCCAGGCCAGCTGGGGCTAAGGGAGACCCTGTTTTAAAAAGACCCAAAAATTTTTTTTGAGAATTTCATACATGCATATAAGGTGTTTTGATCAAATCTACACCCACTCCCTCCCCTCCAACTCCTCCCATATCTCCCCATCACTTTTTCATGGCTGATAGATAAAAATGTTGGAGAGAGCGTGCAGTGGAGAGCACGAGCGGATGGAGGAGGCACCGAGGCACAGATAGAGTTCTCAGCGGGATACAGCTTTATTTCTCACGGGGCACATTTCCCTCGGGGAAGGGAAAGATGTCAGGGAAGGGAAAGGAAAGATGTCAGGGAAGGGAAGGGAAAGATGTCAGGGAAGGG